TCTTGGGTCGATGTGTGTTGCTCATTGAGGATGGTTGGTTCTTGCGTTCGCCCATCACTATGCGGCTGCGGATGTTACTGTGGTGACGGTAGAGAAGCAACAAAAGGTCCTAGGTGAGCCAGCCGAGAGGAAGATTTGAGATTGCTTTGTGCATCGTTTGCAAAAGCACAGCTCTTATATTCCGATCGCCCAGACTCAAGTTTCCATAGCGAATCGACTCTTGCTTTTGCAGGGAAGAGACACCGACAGAATACTGTGCCGGTTGACGTTGCAAGCCGAAGCCAGCCGGCAACGGGCGTAAGATGTTATGCTGGATGACAAGGTAGTTGGTTCCGGCTATGGTATTCAGGAGTACAAAAAGCAGCTATGCAAGGTTGCCGGTAGCCACCCCAGGAATCGTCAAATGAGGTGCTGATGTCGAGTGCTTGTGGATCGCCGAGTGGACCGTGACCTTGTTAATAGTAGCTGAAGTTCCTCCCACCCTGTTCGATTAGAATTAAGCTCCTGAAGATGTATGTCAATACGATAGATAGTAATACTTGGGGTGGTACCAGATAAAGAACGAAGAGAGTAGTACACGACCTCGGCCAGGCAGTCTCCGGTGCAGATAAAGAAGTGCATCCACTACCGTAGCAGGCGGAGGTCTTACCGATTGGATAACGTTTTCCCGTTTACAGCCATGACTGACACGACAGAAGCGTTGCCGTAGCGTGCTCGCGCATGTCAGTAAGGAGCATGACGGGCGTATAAGTGCACGGCGACGGTTGCATCGGGTAGCAGCAGGATCGTGTATCGAGAATAGATGACGCCACATCCAGTAGCAGATCCAAGCTCCACATTGATCAGAGATGTGCGTGTCAGCCTGTTGTAGATGAAGGGCAGTCCTAGAGGCCCGCCGGCCGTCCTGATAGAGGATGATGATCCAAGGAAAGCCGGCCACTCATTTCAAAGCAAGGACCAACAGCCAGGTTGATAATGAAGGTCGATACCCGACGCGTGCTTGTCATCGCGGGCAAGGCGTACAACGCGCGGGGGTCAGTACAATTCGAGTCAAGGTTGCAGGAGGCGTGCTTGAGTTGATAGCTGACCCGCAAGGCTACCATCCATGGCGGGCCAGTAGCAGTTGCGCAAGCCGCAATCATCATATTTCGATGCTTGCTGTGTAACACAAAGGGTTGACCTCGATGTGGCGATGGTGAGAGATGCGATGCATGCTCCAGTGATGACACGGCCATGCGGGTGACATCTGCACGATTGATTGAATCAAGCACGAGTAGCGTGAACGAGCCGCGGATGGCCAGACCGGCAGCCGCGATGCTGTGTGCCCACACAGGAATATTGGCGATGATGTCGAGGCTGGTGATATATTAATGGCATTGTTGAAGCAAACTGGTGCGAGCATAGTGAACGGTGGAAGGGTTGTGTCGACCGCGACGTGTTAGCGGGGCTGCTCGCTTGTTCGTAGCCCATCAAAACAGGGAAGGCGCGATCAGGCTGTCAACAACCACCGCGACGCGTCTGCATCATCAGCGGCTCATACAACAACGGCTGACAACTGTCTTACTGTATGCACGTTGCACTGATAGCGTGATGCCATCGGTCGCCGGTAACCCCACATCGACTTCGCTCCAAGCCAGCTACTGATGGACTCAGCAGAAGAGCGGCCCACGCTGCAGGAGACGCTAAACTTACTGCATCAAGGTAGGTGTCGATATGCGGCAACGAGCCCGGTCAGGATCAGTGCTTACACCGGCCTGCAGCATCTAGAACAACTGCAAAGCAACGGACCGTCAAGGTCTCCAGCATAGTCGATGTCATCTGCCGTTACGCCTCGGAAGATGGCCTTGACCAGGATGCTCTGCGAGACATAGTGCAGCTCGCGTCGGTGAAGACCCTGCTAGACCAAACCACCATCACGACTTTGATCAAGAACTTGTACCCGTCTCAAAAGGTTCCAGGCGATGTTGTCATCACGATTGTTGGTGCGCTGGGGCAGGGCAAGGGCAAACCTTCGCCCGGTACACAAGACAGTCTTGTGAAATGGCTCATCGCAATTCATGAGGTCGTGGAAGATTCGAGCGTCTTGTCCCGACTATATGGTGTGCTTTTTGGCATGCTCGACATGATCAGTATCAGGTGTGTTACTTCGGCCTGTTACCAATAACACAAGTGCTAAATTTAGCAGGACATCTTTGTGCCATCTGCTGTCCTTGATCACTCGCAGGAAACACGTCAAACCATTTCGGATTCAACAGTTGTATGTACAGGGCTTTCAGCATCGATACGACCCAAATACCGATAACTGATCGTACTCCAGACTAGAGCTGTCTCGCGGTCTCGGCAACGAACCTGCGCTCCAAGGTCTCCTCCGTGTCTACAAGGATTACTACCCCGATATAATACTTGGAAGCACTTCCACAAGCCGGAAGTCGTTCGCTCCGGTGAGTATCCGTCTCTCGTACCACTACAAATGCAACCTCAGATCCCCCACGCTACTTCCCCGCATCTCGTTGTCACACTGCCGGATGCACGCTAACTTGATAGCGACCTGATGCCGAATGGCAAACTAGGATCATTGCAATTCAAGAGGCTAGTGTGGCGGAAGACGACTCGAATGTAGACGGGCAGAACGGGTTCAAGGTGCTACGAAGAAGGCTCAGAGGCAGCAAAGGATCGGCGATTCCGGATGTGCATACCTACCATGCGACCGAGGTGGGTAACCATCCCTGTTTAACATCTTGGAGGTGCTAATAGTGTGTGACAGAGCTCAGCAACCCTTGAGGGCATTGATAGTGTGGACGATTTTGTGGAAAAGCTCGACAGGATAGAGCCACCGGGCCAGCTGATAGCGCTCCTCGTGGACCCGTTGCTACAGAAGTACATCGATCTGAAGCCATCACCAATCACAGCCAGTCGATTAGGAAATTGGCTTGCGACGTGTCTGGAAGAGCAGTTCGAGGAGTACCGGCAAGGCGCTGCAAACGATAAGTACTTATCTCAAGTTCTCGGTGGGCTTTTGACGTACGCTCAGTACACGAAGGTAAGCACATCAGCAGTGTTCACGTCCAGCTGGCTGATTTGTCAAAGTCACTGCATCCTACAGTACTGGCGTTTATACGCGAGTATCTGCCTATATGGGACGGCCAGCAAGACCTTGAATCTTTGTTGGGGCTCGTCTCCTACATTCCGATTGAAGTTTTTGAGGACGCCCATACGACCTACCTGTCCCCTGTCGAACGAGCCCTAGCAGCTCATGGCCTTACTGCGTACACAAAGCTCGTCGACTTCTACACGGCTCTGCTGCAGCACCAAATAACCCAGACAGCGTCCGGAGCTGCCGACCAAAGAGAGATTCGACAGGAAGTCTTAAGCGACCTAATCGAGCACGTAGCCACCTTGTTCACTTCGGCTCTTGTTTCCATCCCCCCAGGTTCCAGCACCACCCTCACATCGTCGATCCTCTCGTTCTACGAACTCCTCAGCACCTCCTCGAAACCGCACGTCATCCCAATACATCTGCCACCGATGCATCTCGTCTACCTGCTCTCTCAGGACGCATCTTCAACGACGCTTTCTCGTATCTGCGGCATCATCGGCTCTTACAAGCTGGCTTTTGATGCACACCCCAAGCCGGTCAAGACATACTATTCTGCGGAAGTCACGGATGCGTTCAATTGGTGTCTGCGCGATATGTACAATCTAGTGTGGGTTTCCCGTGGTCTTCTCGTTCAGGATCAGAAGTCGAAGGGGTTGTATTGTGATCCGATACTGAGGGGTACACTGAATGAGTATCTACGTCGTGTAGATCGTGGTTACACTATAGGAGCTGCGTTCACGTTGTCTTATAACGCTTGGTTGGCCTCGCTGTCTGCTGCGGCGTGGCGTGCGGTCGAGAAGAGGGAGGTTGATAAAACGAGTGAGAAGAATGTTACACGGTATCACGACGGGCCTGTTACGGAAAAGAGTCTGGAGGTACTTAAGAGCAAAGGCGGTGTTGACGTCGGTTGGGAGGGCGCGGATGGATACAAGGTCATGGTGCTGCAGTGGCTGACTGAGAGGGGGATGGGTGGGATTAGGGATCTGATGTTCGCTACCGTGATCAACTTGAAGGGTACCGCTTGAAGGACCTCATACAAGGAAAACTCAAAAAAGCCTGCAATCTACATCAAGACAATATTAGCTGGATTGATAGAATCACGAGGCATTATGTGAATGCCTAAGGATGCATTATATTCGTACTCTGTTGCCGCCAGCGTTTTCACGAGCGGAGAGGTCTTTCTCGAATTGTGCAGCTAATCCAACAACGAAATCAATAATAGACAATAGTTGCGCATGCTCGAGCTTATCATCGTCAGTAGTAGTCTCGTGTCAGGTTTGATGTTCATGGTGCTTCAGCGCCAAAACTCACAACACCACGGCGCACGGAGCACCTGTAACATGTCTCTAGAATGTTGGGATCGATTCTGAATCGATTCAAATTGCTTGGCCGAACTTCATAACTCACAACGAGCAAATTGCTCACATTAAGTACTCCATGTTGTCGTGCAGTGCTGCAGTGTCAACTTTTCCTCTGCTAAAGTGAGCGGCATCCTCAGGTAGCCGCGACCGAGTCGCAACTGCCTATGTCGGCTGCAACCTAGTAAAGGCTCTCAACACCTGTTAAAGGTTTATTCTACATCTTAGAGCTCTTGCTTACTGTATTCGACCCGTGGACACGCCCGTGGACTACCTAGGCCTACCAAGGCAGTACGCCACATCTCAACACCACAGTCCCTCCATAGATGCGTCCGAAACGCGTTGAGAACGCGTTCGAATAGCTTTCTGATAGCTTTCTCAGGCGAAGCAGATGACCTCGGCTAATCATCGCCGCGCACATAAGCTTCGTGTTCTCTGCTCATCCGCCATCATCCCTCCGCACTCCACACTCACCGTCTTCCATCCCATCGCATCTCAACACTGTCGCATCATACCTCGTCGCCATCAACGCGCAACCCCAAAACATGGACCAAATTCCCAAGTACATTCTTGACTATATCCAGCAAAGCGAGCGCGAAGGTACGCCAGAGCCCTGCACTTCACCTGGGCATGCAAGAGAAAGCTGAACACCCTGGAGTCTACATGGGCGCCAGATCTTCCCATATGCTTGTTCCATCATGAAAGAGACTGCGGACTTGTTTAGCTCCTTCCTTTTTCGAGTCATCTGCGTTCGGCGTTCATCATACTGACGTTCCCGCCTTCTAGATCGAGCACAAATGGACGAATACCTCGCCGCTCGCAACGCCGCTCATACAGCAGGCAAGCGGCCCGCGCCCGATGCTGATCCTCATCCTCAACAAGGGTCCAATTCGAGGGACAACGGCCCGCGAGTCCCATTCAACATATCCCACGGCCTCATAACGGGGTGTCCTATCTGCCCCCAAGAAGACGATTTCATTCACGAAACACCGGACCCCAACCTCAGCCGCTGCAGCGCATGCAAAGTCGTCTATTACTGTAGTCCATCTCACCAAGCTGCCGACCGACCGGCACACAAAACATTCTGCAAGAGGGTCCAGAAAGCTACATTCTTCTTCGAGAAAGAGCAGGCTGCGCTCAAAGCCTATAAGGGGATTACCGATTGGCGCAAAGTGTTCGAGACTCCACTGGAGGACTTTTGGGGCTGCGAACAAGGAAGAAAGTATATCAGAGCAGGCAAAGAATTCGTGCATGAGTTGCTTCGGTTCAATACGAAAGTCGCTGTAGAGGAGGCTCTGCTTTGGACGCTCGCATTGATGAAGTTGAGTCCCAAAGATCCCTTGGGCCTAAGGTGTATCACACCCTTCCTCTACATCCGAACGGGCCGAGATCAGGAGTGTTACGACTTCTGCAAGTGGTGGGTCACCACTGGAAACAACGGAGGTTATGACTGGCAGAACCCCGAAGCGTCGCAGGAGAGCATGAAAGGCTCCAACGTGCTCGAACCCGTCGACGTCTTCCAGCGTGCCAGAAACTCTCGACTCGGTGTAAACACCGACAACATGCCCAGCATCTCTGATCTCTCTCACCTCGTCGCCGTCACATTGATCAAGATACGTATGCGATGGGGCGTCCGCGCACTTCGCATGGGCAAGATAGTCACCTTTCAAGATCACGCCACCGTCAACCTAGTATGGAACACGGCGAAGCTCCGCCCTGGCCACGAAGACGAAGAACTCGTTCCTTTGACTGCAGAACTGGAGGACCACATCGCTTTGTTATTCGCCTGGACTGACGCAGCGAACAGACATTTCTGGCCTGCGCTGTTGAACCCGGGTGATCATTTGACTGCAACACCAGAGTATGTTCGTACGGGTGATGAGACCGAGATGCAGATGGTGTTACAGGAAAGCTACAATGCGTTCATGGAGACCAAGAGCGCGTTCGTCCTTTTGAAAGATGTGTTGGAAATGAGTCAAGATTATGATCGCCAGCTCAGTGCTATGAGTCCCGGTGAGTTTGAAGCTGAGCGTGCTAGAGCGTTGGCATTTCTAGATAGTCAACCTTAGGGATGTTGTAAGGAAATGCAACCGTCGTCAGCCTAAAGGATGCCACTAGTAACATGCATCACCAACATGTATCTACCTTAGACACGCTGCGATCTAAGTAGCTCTCTGAAAGCTTTCTAATTACAATCTGATACACCGGGGTACCTCGGCTGTCCCTCGCTCCGCATAGTAGCTTTGTGAAGCTCGGCTGTCCTCGAATCTTCTTCCGATGTGTGTTGAGCTGTCCCTCGCTTCAAGCTCGGCTGTCCTCGAAACAATCTCCGACTCCAGCCTCGCCGTATTTCATCTCGACCACGACGCATCGCGCCTTTATCGCGTCTTTAGTCTCTTTGCTATATCGTTTTCTCTGAATCTCCACGCGTCGCATTGATATTGCGTTCCATCAATTCACGTCTCTTTCAGTTCGCGTCTCATTACATCACGTCTTGTTCACATCGCATTTCATCAGCAACGCGTCGCGTCGCGTCATGTCTTCATCAACGCGCGCTTGCTCAACACCAATGCAGAACCCACGGTCATCAATTCAGCTGCCTTCAGATCGGGTACAAATGGACGAATTCAACGTCGCTCGAACATCACGCAAACGCAAAGCCGACTCAGATCCCGAGGTGCCGCTTCGTCCCAACGTGACCGGTCATCGTGCACCATATCCGCACGGCCTACCCCATGGTCTCGTGGATGGGTGCAACATCTGCCCGAAAACGAGTCGTCGCATCGAATGCAGTGGCTGCAGAGCAGTTCATTACTGCTGTGCCGATCACCAAGCCCTCGACCAGGCAGCCCATCAGACAATTTGCGATAGGATCCGGAGGCTTGATGAACTTGTTGGTGAAACCGAGAGTGAAATAGACCCACTGTGCCCATGGGACCGCGATCCAGGATACGAGGACGCGCCCAAGAACCCCTTCGGACCTTCAAACCCAAACTTCTGGTACTGGAAAGGGACCAGGAAGTACATGTACTTGCGCCGGGATTATGCTCACGAAATGGTAAAACTCAACACCAAAACAGCGATCGAACACGCGTTGGATGATACATGGGCCCTTCTGCGAATGGATCCTGAGGATCATCTGGGGATGCGCTGTATCATGCCCTCACTCTTGCTCCGCTTGAAGCGCGACCGAGAATGCTACGACTTCTGCAAGTGGTGGGTCACCGAAGGGAACGACGACAACGATTGGGACTGGCAGTCCATGGATATGCCCCTGACTTTTGAAGACGCTTTTGAGTCGGCTGATATGTTTGAGCGGATTAGAGATTATGGCTCAGACCCTCCTATGTTCTCTGATCTGTCGTTCCTCCTTCCTATCCTGTTGCTCAAGATACGCATGCGTGAGGATCTTGAGTCGCTGCGATTGGGTGGCAATGATAGCTTCCCACAGTGGAGCTTGAGTACCATCGTGTTGGATTTCCATAATGACCTTGAAAGAGAGGACGGCCGTGAGGGAGAGGACTACCGTGAAGGAGAAGAATACTCGCCGCTTCTTATAGAGGTGGAGAACCAGATCAGACGGTTATATCGTGCCGTTGGTAGAGCCAACAAACACTTCTGGCCTGCATTCATGAATCCATGGACTCATCTTGAGGCCAAACCGTCATCTTATGGGTTGGGCGATGAAGCAGAGATGCAGATCAAGTTGCAGGAGTGCTTCAATGCTTGGATGGAGACACCCGAAGCTACGGGACCGATCCGTGATCTGATGGAGGGTGACGATAGGTATTGGTACTCCATGAGCGGAGTCTGATGTAGATAGTCAATCTTAGAGTTGTTTTGAGATGAGCCTACATCAATATGAAAACATGCAAAGTACTAGATGCAACGTCAACGTAGGCTCCCGCGTGCTGGCTAGAGCCTATCAAGCTGTTAGCAAGAATAATAAGATGTGTCACAACCACGTTGCCAAAGCATAGCAAGCGGGCTACATGCTAGTAACAAGTTAGCAAAATATCTTAAGAGCTAATCGTAGCGGCTACTTTACCTTTGCGACACGCACTTACATTGTGACATGCGGAGCCTTTTGAACTACATTTCACGAGTTCCACATCAAAAACACAGAAAAATGAAGAACGATGCACCATTCAACCCATCGCATCATCACAATTACTTCATCTAATGTTGTACAAAGAGCCACGCAGCGACGCCCAACTCAAACAAACCCAACCCAAGTCCCCCTTTTTCTTTCTTCAAACGATATCAGCTCCAAACAACGCGTTCTTTCTCAAACCCTAAGTTCCATCTGTTCAGCCCCAAAACTAGCATTAACAACACTACCAGCGCCGTGATGGTGGTGGAGATGGTGTTGTCTTTCCTTAACAAGAGCATTATACTGTAAAAATCACACGTTAGCAAATGCCATCCACTATCATCATCATCCGACTTCGCTGTCACATCCATGACAGACGTCAAGGTCGGCGAAGAGGGGAAAAGAAGAAACATACCTTAAACCCAAAGTTCAAACACAACGCCACCGCCAACCCCACACAAACCACCAGCGGACCCGTGATAGCATCAAAGTCCTTACCGCTCCTTTCCCTGATAAGTCTCGCGCGGTAGATATACATCGTATACCCCCAAGCGAGCGTGAAAGCCGCAATGCAGGTATACACGACCGCAAGCGCGCGGGCGATATCGTTGCCTTCGCCGGCGGCATTGTAAAGACCCAGTGACAACGAGGCGAGCAGGACGCTAACATGCTGCCATTTGATAAAGGTACGTTGGTTCGCGAGCCAGACTTTGGCTTCTACACGCACGGGACCTTGGTCTTTGATCCAGACACCTGGGTCCCGGATGCCAGGCGGGAGCTGTATAGCGCGCTGTTGTTTGCGCGCGTATTTCGAGGTGGAGAAGGAAGGGAAGAGGGAGGCGAGACCGCCGCTCTTGGGCTGCTTTCCGTTTCCAGCAAGCAGAAGCGTGTTTTCGTCGTCGGAATCGGGTTCTTCGTTTATGCGCGCGTTGGTTGTGTCTGTGTCGCGGTGTGAGCGCTGGGAGAGGTGGGATCCGATTGTGGGGAAGGGGGGTTTGGTGACGGGCATGGAGTGGGCGGCTGCGGAGGCGCTCTTGGGGACGGACGACCGTGTTGCGGCTGGTGAGCCGACGGGCGAGGCGATGGAGGCGCGGTAGCTGGGGCTTGCGCGCGCGCCGAAGAGGGAGCCGACGGCGAATTCGTCCTCGGCTGCTTTGCGCTTCTTTTCTTGTTCCTGGTCGAAGGCGGCTTCGGGTTCTTTGCGGATGTCGTTGTCGACTTCGCTGAGCCAGAAGGGGAAGGTGTTGACGTTGTCTTCGAAGAGCTTGGCTACGCCGTGGACGAACTTGGAGAAGCGGGGGGATTCTTTGACCAGGTGCGAGTGCATGAGATCTTCGATCCACTCGTACTTCTTCAGGCCCTTGACTTTGATCTCGAGGAGCGCGTAGGGGAACTTGTGGAGCTCGCCCTTCTTGAGCGCCTTGAAGGGGAACTCCATCTGCCCGTTGTCGATGTCGCGCCTGTGCCAGTCTTCGGGGTCGCGGCAGGGTCTGTCGTCGTCGAGGGCGTCTTCGCGGATCAGGGCGAGGTTGGTGTCTAGGGAGATGCGCACGCGGTTGTCGCCGGGGATCTGGAACGCGGTGCGGGTGTAGTTGGCGCGCAGCATTGGCTGCAGCTTCTGCTCCTTGACAAAGCTCTGGATGTCTGTTACAGCCTTCTTGAAGTTGTCCACCTCCTCTTGGTTCTTGTTGGGGCGGTATTCCATCTTCTCGATGCTCTTCTCCATGTGGTACTTGTCCTCAAGGAAGGATTGTACATATTTGGCTTTGATTGGGAAGCGGACTTCTTCGGCAGCGTTGCCGTCCTTGATGACCTTCTTCTCGAACATGATCTCTGGCTTCTCACCGAGCTGTCCGTACCACCGGAGTCGCAGCGAGGAGGCATCGGGCTTGCCATTGACCTTGTCCGAGTAGAGGGAGAAGTTGGGGTTGTCAAAGTAAATGGACGTGATGGTAGGGTCGCGCTGGGTGCCCTCGGCGACCTTGGACGACATGGGGTTGTAGACGAGGACAGGGAGACGGCGGAGGATGACGGTCTTGACTTCGAAGAGGTTGTCCATGTGGACCCAGACTGCATGTGTTAGCTGATGTTTGCCAATGATGTATGGTGTGCCTACACTTGTGCGAGGTGAAGCCCTCGCCATCCGTGCTGGTCTCGCCAAAGGACAAGGCCTCCTTGGACTTGCCCTCGAGGCTCTGTCGGACAAAAGAGTACAGCGCCGACAACCTGTACAGCAGCGGCGAGGCATCCTCGGTGTGCAGCGGGTGGCGGGCAATGCGCGCATCGATAAAGGGCCGCAGGCGGTAGGAGCTGCCGCGGATCTTGTCGTGCTTCTTGGTGGCCTTGATGACGGCGGTGAAGTTGATGCGGCTGAAGCTCTCGAGCTCCTTGGTCTCCTTGGTGATGTTGTCGAGCTCGCGCAGGACTTCCTTGAGGATCTTGTCCCTCTCCTGCTGGCTGGGCTCGGGTTTCTTGGACGCTTCGCCTGACGCGTCGCCAAACAAGCCCTCACCATTGCTCTCCTTCTTCTCCTGGCCGTCCTTGGCCTCTTCCTTGCCCTCCGCCTGGATGCCTATGGCCAATGGCTCCAGCTTCTTCTCGCATGCCGTCGTGCGGTCGCGCAGCTTCTGCGAAATGTCCGTGATGAAGTTGTGCACCTTCTCCAATTGCACGTTGGCCAGCTCGTCAACAAACGCGCTCTCGTCGTCGGCGGTCCAGGAATCGTCATCCTCGTTGTCCTTGAGCAGCTTCTTGAGCTTGTCGTAGTCGATGTACTTGTCCTTCCACGGCGCATACACGCTCTTGCGCAGTGTCGTGCCGAACTTCATGGCTTAGCGAGCGAGTGTAGTTGATGGCAGGAAATGGAAGCTCCAGCAGTCGCGACGCGCAGTAGCAATAGTCAGGATATAAGAATTGCCGGCGCCGGAAAGCTCTGCATGGAGGATTGGGAGTGAAGCAATGCAGCTGGGTTTAGCTGGTGGGGAGCTGCGCGCAGCCAATGCCCAGGAACTTTGGGCGCACGTGTTTCGCGTCCCGCGAGCGTCATAGCTGCAGCTCCGCTTTCATCCCAGCTCTCTTCACGTGAAGGATTCAGCGTCATATTCACTGGAATGTATTTCCACACTGTACTTCAATTCATGCGACTCTACACAACCTCTCAATGATCTATAGGTATACATTGAGATGCTGCTCGTCAACAACCACAAAACAACAACCGCCGCCGCGAGTCATTCCCGCTAGGAAGACCCACGCATCTTCACGTCCCGACATTAGTGTCCGAGGCCCAAGTCTGGCCCTGCCTCTGACAGTCTCCAGTGCTCGGTCAATCTTGCGGCGCCGCTGCGCAGCTGTTGAGATGGATCAAGCATTACCTCTGTTGTTGATATCTGGCTCTGCTACCAGTCGTGTTGCTGTGGTGCTCGAACTTACGGCTCCTCTACGCGTCCGTGGCACCTCATATCAGGAGGAAACTCAACAGGTCTAGAGCCTACATCAACGTTAGGTCACCCACTTTGCATATCGCTGTCTTATTGTAAGCTCCACGGTGTTCAGGATTTCCTTGAATGATGTGGAGCCGGATGACAGCCTATGACCTCTAGGATTGGTGCTGGGTTTGGTGTTCTCAGTGATTCCGCGGGCTCCACCACCCCATAACTCAACTCAGAACCCATACTACGACAGATCTCGCGATACTGTCGAATGCGCAAGTTGATAGCTCTTGGTCATATTAGCTTAATCATGATAGGCCCCTTTCTAAGTACCACGTTCTCACACTGCAGTAGACTACCTAGGTGATCTCAAACCGCCGGCAGGCTACTTCAGAATCTGAGATTAGTCTCAGTTGATACTCAACATCAACTCCTATCGAAAACATCGTTATCGCGTTCCGCCTAACCTTGGTTTTCTCTACCTCGGCTAATTGACGCTGCGCACAACGTCGTCGTGTTCTTCGGTCATATCTTCTCCAGCACACCGCTCCCATCCTCTCTCATTTCATCGCATCGTCCACGAAAGCTGTTTCGCCCTGTCATCGCCCGCCATGGATCTTCCGGCCTACCACGAGCGAATGAAGAGAAAACTTCAGTCTCCACCCGACCGCCTGACTCTGCGCTACTAATTACCGCATCAGTCGATGAGTACCTGGCTTCCGAAGCAGACCTCGACGAGCGGTTCCCCGACTTCATGCGACGCCGTTTCAATGGAAGGATCAGCGAGACCCATTCCACGCCAGTCCACTGTAATCGACCACCTTGTTTCGACCACGGATGCATCCGCTGTGGTCGACAGCCCTCCGTTCTTTGTACCAGCTGCAAAGTGATAAAGTACTGTAGTCCTGATCATCACACCGACGACTGGCCCAACCACAAAAAAGCCTGCAAGTCAATCAAGAGAACCATGGACGCTGTGGAAATGGAAGACCAAGCAATCCGCGCCCATGATGAAGACGCCGACATCCCACGTAACGCCTTCCGCACGGCCAAGGGAAGATTCTGGAAATACAAGGGACTAAGACCATATCTGAAAGCACGGTTGGGGCATGTGAACGCGATACGTGAGGTAAGTACCCTGATTGCCGTGGAAACGGCACTAGAACACGCTACAGATATCCTGAGACTTGATCCCAGAGACGCCCTCTGCGTCCGCAGCATTATACCGGTACTACTCCTCCGCCTCGACCTTGATGAGCGCTGCTACTGGTTTTGTAAATGGTGGCTTACCAAAGGCAATGATACGCATCACGACTGGGCAGACGACGGACCGCTTTTGGCGCTTGAGCGACCGGTTGATTTGTTCAAGACGGAAGACGCGTTTGAGCATCTCGGCGACTATGACTACACCAGGACCTTCACCGACAGAGATTTCGACCGTACTAGGTTGCAAAGTCCCGCTGATCTATCACTACTCGTCGCTATCATGCTGGTCAAGATTCGTATCAACATAGATCTGCTGTTGTTACGGAACGACCCCCAGCCGGAAACCTATTTGCAGCGACACGTTAGCAGCGTTGTGGCCGCGAGATACCGAAGAGGCACGCCCGAAGGGTTCTACATGAGAGATGAAAGGGAATTTTTTGAAGCGCTTTGGATACAGGTTAACACACTGTTTAGAGAGATACGCAGAGTCAACGAACACTTTTGGCCGGCGTTGATACGCTCTTACCCGCCGCAACGATGGGGATTCAAGCGACCTGCATTAGAAGCGGGTACTAAGACAGAAGCGAGAATCACGTGTCATGACTGCTACGCTGCTTGGCATGAGACACCGGGGGCTATCGATATCATCAAGGAATTGTGGGATAGACGCTCTTAGATCTAGGCATTCTACGGCACCACTGGAGGTGGTTCACCGTTTTTCTTGTATGAGGTGCTACAGTAGTCTTGTCTCCATGTGAGGCATCACGGTTCAGGGGCGGCTGTGCGATCGTGAGGGTTGAGACGAGTTGTACGGGTTGGGGTGACTGGTAATGTCAGGCGATCGTGTGTGACATTGTGATGATCATGATCACGGATGCGCTAGATGTTAATGATACTTGTTGAACTTGATCATTTGGTGGATGCCATGTTTTGAGTATATATTGGTTTTCTGAGTAAAGCTGATTGGAGGCGAGGCACCATAATCGCTATATATGAAAGTGTGATTATGTTGTGTTGTGATGAATACGGGTTTTCCATAAATTTTGCGCACAAGGATGCTATGTGATGGTATGAAGGAAGGACGTGTGTTTGGTATGCTGTTGTCGCTACGCTAGATAGATGTATACGGAAGCTTAGATTTCATGTGCTTATCCAGAAGGTAATGGTGGTGCGTATGCGGCAGAGCTATATGCTATTGGTTATGTTCTGGAGGTTTTGACACACATCCGGGCTTCGCCGAAGATGGAAACCCAGCGGAGGAGATCACGCAAGTCTGCCTCATCGCGTTTCCCTTACATAGTTGCTAAACATAGCGATGGATCGACAGTTCTTCAGTTGGTGGAGTTGGTGTAAAAAGGGATGCCTCAAAAGGCGACCCTCGTTGTACTCCACAGCCCACCTCCAACAAATACGTGCGACGAGCATGCAACAAGCGCCTCGTGCTCGTGGGACAAAAATCTCCGCTGTTTTCTTGTTGTTGTGTGCAACAGGTGTTGTGCCGTCTATTAATATTCAGCGAGCAGAAGCATCGAAGCAAGGCATGGGCGAAAAGTCGTGGTGGCTGGTGCGGCGGTGATGGGGCTGGTAGTTGGCGGGTGCATTAGTTTTGTGTTTCGCTGCTCAAGCTTTGTGGCTGGTGCTTCCGTTGGACTGGAACCGGGATGCTGAGTGCTTGACACATCGACGTGGCTTCCACGGGGTTTGTCGACTGCTTCGAGCCTCCATCTGCTATTGCCGTCAGCGGCCTCGCAGTTCGATAGCGTCCTCGTCCGTCCTCTGAAAAATCAGCAAAACAGGCGTTCAACGACGCCATCATGCTGTAGTTGAACCAAACTTTTGCGTAGCGGCAGCCGATGCTAGTGGCACGGTTAGCCGAAGAGAATGTGACCTCTTGATTCGGCGTAGCGCAGGCCCTCGTGCGAGGCCGAAAAGGCAAGTTGCTCAGGCTACACACAAGGAAACGTGAAACGTGCCACACGCGACCTGACCAACACCGACATCGCAGGCATGTGGGAGGCCCACAGACCGGGCGCCGAACGGTTTTCTTGATTGCAGATCACAGTCTGTTCGTCGTACGCTGCTTGTCTTTGCAGCAACTAAAGTGTGAAACTTTGCAATCAAAATCTGTCTGGCAATGTAGGCTCCGGCCATCGAATCGTAGCGGAGAAACACATTTTGAGATGTCATTCTCCCGGGCACCGCTTAGAGCGGAGGTGGCGAGGCTGAAATGGCTCCACTATGTTGATCGTGTCCAAGGGGCGCATGACTTTGGTAATAAATTGGACTTTACCAGCCGGTCCCAATTTACGGCGGATCGCACAGCAAGGGCACGTACAGCCTCAATATCTAGAAGGAACCACGTAGCACGACAACGGCGAGGAGCTGTGTTTTCGCGATGGAAGAATGTCGTGCTGAATGGTCACGACAGCAGCGCAGTCGTGTCGTTAGGCGGACGATGAGGTGGTCTTGCATTGGGGCGTTGGAGGAGTGGAGCGAGTGGCTAGGATGGCGCCTTGACGATCTGCAGGCACAGACTGCCAAGACTCCGCTTTGGACCTCAACCAACCCGTCAGTCCCGCTGTCATGACATCGTAACAAACGCCAGAAAACGTCTTCGGGTGGCCTTACTCGCGGCCTTATCGTGCCTTATCGAACGGTGAGCGTTGGCATCATGTCTAACAACAACGACGTATGTTCTCAGATGGTTTGAAGACGAACAGCTCACCGAAAAGACCCTGGGTCAAAAACTGTTAATACTTTTTGCCTGCATATAGGCTACGGCCCTAGCTCAACTGTGGCTCTCTGCTGCACTTGCTGCACACCATCTAAACGATGATTGCCCTATGGATCCCGGGAAAAGCCCCGACGTGCGGCAAAAAAGTGTGAATGTGATTGGTGTCACAGCCTCGAATATGCACGTTTGTTACCCAGTTTGCGGGTTAGTGCACGTTCAAGGCAGAACCGACCGGCCTGTCAGTATTTGTAGCCTGGCGGATCCCTCATGCGTCACCTTTCCCCAGTATATCACCAGCCTCCTAGTGGCGCGTGTGGATTTTCCCTTTCTTAAAGAGGAACCGTGTGGGCTTGTTTCCCGTCTCTTACCATCCCAAGTCCCTCTCCCTCCCCAGGAACGACTTATCTTTCGCCCAGAAACCAGCGAAAGTGGGAGCCTGGAGTTATTTGCTCGCCCGGCCGTTTGCAGTCCACTCAGGTGCGCTTTCCCGGACTAGAGCCTGCACGTGACCGTTTGCCCTCGCGTTCACCGTGCGTACATCACCTCATCGCGTTTAGAGCAGGCGCGTTCGATTACCCCACCTACCGCCAAACAATACTCGCTCGACGACTCCTTCCCCCCTCCCATCAACTACACTCGCTCTCGCTGGTTCAGCAATTCCATTCGTTTCAACTCCATCTCACCCTCTCCACGGTAGATAGCTTCATTACTCCCTCGCCATGAAGACTTCCGCTCTGCTCGCCGCCATTGGCGCAGCGTCACTGGCCGTCGCCTCCCCCGTCCTGCCCTCGCGGACTCAGCCCGTCCAGATCAAGGCTCGCCAGGCTGATGGTACCACTCCTCCCTGTGCCAAGGTCTCCAACTACGTCTACGGTAATGGAACACTACCCGCCAAGCTCAGTATGCCTGCTCAGTTGGCCTGGGACTGTATCAACACCGTTCCCTTCAACGCCTCATCAGCAAAGCGGCTCATTGGAGCGATGCGTCCCTACATTGAGTGGCAGAGCACCCTCTCTGAACTCAAGAACCCGCCTGCCGAGTACGCCGAGAAGGTGCAGCCTCCCGTCGACATCTTTGGCGGCCTTGATAAGATCGAGGGCGACATCGACGCCGGCAACTTCAAGAGCGAGTACGACTTTGGCTGGACTCTCTACAACCTTATCCTTTCTGCCCACGATGGTCACTTCTCCTATATCCCTGACTCCGTGGGCGCTATCTTCACCTGGGGCCGCCCTGTCCCCCTCGTCTCTGTCTCTGCAGATGGCGACCAGCTGCCGGCTGTCTTCGTCTTCTCTGACGTACTCGGTATGCAATACAAGAACATCTCCTACACGCCCTCGCCTGTTGTTCAGATTGACGGCAAGGACGCGACCGAGTTCCTCGAGGACCTCAGTCAGTACGGCTCCCTCCAGGATCGCGACGCTCTCTACAACAACGTCTTTTACGAGCTCGCCCAAGTCAGCCTTGGTACCTCGGGTAGTGGAACCGGTGTCTTCACTGGAGGTGGCCGTGGACGATGGGTTTACCCTGGTGCCACCACAACCCTGACCTTCGCCAACGGCACATCCTACACCATGGAGAACTATGCCCGCCCAACCATTCCTTTCCGCGAGATTGCTACAGGTGAAGATCTGGCTAGGAAGTGGTTCAGCTTCGATTCCGCAGGTACTTCGTTTGCCGATACCCGTGTCCAGTCGGAGGAAGACGTATCTACCCTCGCTGTTGCCGCTACTCCTGGTTTCCCTGCTCCTGTCGCCGCTGGCCCCCAGGGTCTCATCAACGGCTTCTACATCGACGCTGCTGGCTATGAAGATGTTGCAGTATTGCAGGTGCCCAACTTTGTCGGAAATGTCCGCGCAGAGGTGCCTTTCCAGGAGCTCACCCAGAACTTCATCCCCAAGGCTCTCGCCGACGGAAAGACCAAGCTCATCATCGATCTCCAAGCCAACGGCGGTGGTACTATTCTCCAGGGCTACGACATGTTCAAGCAGTTGTTCCCTGACGTTGAGCCTCTCGGTACTAACCGCTGGAGGGCGCATCAAGCCATGGACCTCGTCGGACAGTCTCTCAGCAAGTTTGCAAGCCAATTTCCCAGGGAGCTCGGCAACAACAATACGATCAGTTTTGCCCAGTCTTCCTACTTCGACTACCACATGGACATGAAGGCTGATGGTACTCCATTCTCCTCCTGGGACGAGAAGATTGGTCCCAAGGAGGTCCATGGAGAGTTTTACACCACAGAGGCTCGATGGAACCTGTCCGATGTATACGTCCCCTACGTATCTGGTGGCATTAATGTCACTGGCTACGGACCCTTGTCGGGCGTTACCGGACCACCAAAGTTCGCACCCGAGAACATCGTCATCGTGACCGACGGCTACTGTGCCTCAACCTGCACTATATTCAGTGAGTTGATGAAGCAGCAGGGCGGTGTCAAGACCATCGCGATGGGTGGTCGCAGCAACAAGAACCCCATCCAGGCCATCGGCGGTGTCAAGGGCGTCAACAACTTCGCTTTCGGCTACATCCAGCAGACCGTCCAGTACGCTGTCCGGTTCGATCCTGCTCTCAACTCCTCCATCTTGAGGGAAGACTACTACAGCGACCTTGTCTACGCCCGCAGCGTCGGTGGAGGCGGAGCCGTCAACACCCGCGATGGCCTCCGCGCCAACGACACGTCCGGCGTCTCCCTCCAGTTCCAATATGAGGAGGCCGACTGCCGTCTCTACTTCACCCCGGAGATGACCGTCGACATCACCGCCCTATGGAAGGCCGCCGCGGACGCCCAGTGGAGCAACAACGGCAAGTGCGTCAACGGCGCCCGCTACTCCGACGAGAAGCGCGCCCTCCCCAAGCCCAACATGAAGGTCACAACCAAGCTCAGCCCCCCAATCCAACGCGTCCGCGTCGCAGACAACGACAACCGCATGCGCGCATTCGAG